CTATTTATTTATGAGTGACTTATGTATGTATGTATATATATGTATATATTGTACTATTCTTAGTTAGTGTATTGTCTGTCTTGTCTTAATGTTGGTTTATAATGGAGCACTGTAACAAAAAATAATTTCCCCCAGGGATCAATAAAGTATTCTGATTCTGATTCTTTGGCCTTTTGGAACTGTCTTAATTCTTCATTGATCTGGTTCATTAACCTCAGAGATTTTGGACCATATTAACTTAGTAGCATCACACAATTGCTGCAGATTTGTCAGCTGGACATGCATGATTTGAATCTCCTGTTCTACTACATCCCAAAGGTGCTCTTTTGGACTGTAATCTGGTGACTCTGGAGGGCGCTTGAGTACAAAGAACTCCTTGTCATCTTCAAGAAACCAGTGTACCAAAAAGATGAGTTCACTATGGTCATATGGGTATTGACATAGTCAGTGTCAAGGTATTTTAGCCCAGAGAAGTGCTGCTCATTGGATATTTTCCCTTTTCCGACCATTCTCCATAACTTTAGACATGATTGTTTGGAAAAAAAATCCCTGTAGATAAGCAGCTCCTGAAATACTCAGACCAGCCAGTCTTCCACCAACAACCATGACACATTCAAAGACCCTTAAATTCATTTCTTTCTGTTCACTTCAACTTCAGTAGGCGGACTCGATCATGTCTACAAGCCTAAGTTTATTGTGTTTCTGCCATATGATTGTCTGATTAGATATGTGCTAGTAAACAGTTGAACAAGTGTATCTAACAAAGTGGTCAGCGAGTCTATACTATTGCAGTGTCGGATTATTATATCAAAAAGTTTATGTATGAGTTTAGCAGTTTTCTCAGCCTTTGTATCATGTCAAAGGTAGGAAATACCTCTAACATGGTTGCAAGTGGCACCCGGCATGGTGGCACGGTGGTTATCACTTTTGCCTCACAGCAAGAAGGTTCTGAGTTTAATTCCACCATCAGGTCTTTCTGTGTGGAGTTTGCATGTTCTCCCTGTGTTTGCGTGGGTTCCTCCCACAGTCCAAAGACATGCAATTTAGCTTGATTGAAAGCTCTAAATTGCCCATAGGTGTGAATGTGAGTGCGAATGGTTGTCTGTGTCTTTGTGTCATCCCCCACCCCCGAACCTAAAAAGGATGAGAATGGATGGATGGGTGCAAGTACAGAAACCCCACCCACCTGCTGCTCAACCTTCTGTTAGTGATGAGAGGCCCATAAGAGCAAAGCTTAAAGGGAGGCTTGTTTAAGAGAATGGATGAATTGAGAGGCTGTACCAAGGC